CTGATGATCCCTGGCTACAGAACATCTTTTTTCCAAGTTATGTTTTTCTTTGAAGTTGATGGAAACATCTCAAAGTTCTACTGATTATCCATTGCAACAGTTAATCATGTTTCTGAAAAGAACAAATGATGTATCGCAATCACGAGAAATTTAACGAAGCGCAAGTCAAGTTGGGGTTCCCAAAAATCTCACTACTGTTATAACTAATTTGTTGTAATCAGAAACAGGGCATATAGCACTGCAAATAGCACTGTTGGGTTGAATTATCGGTACAAATTCAAGATGTTTTCGCTAACTTTAGAAAAATGACTTTGAAGAAAACACGGTCGGCCGCCAGAAACCACAGGGGATCTACAATTAATGCTGGAAATGCGGCTTGTACAACTTCCTACTTCTGTTCAACTTGTCTATAACAAATAGGAAGGAACACTTCCGGAATAACGCGTGAAATCCACAGCACTAGGACTCCAGGATATGAAGCTTTGTTGCTGCATTCCCCTCTCAAGGAGGATGTAAACGTAATGATTTGATAGTGTGGCATTCATAACTTGCACAAAAATTGCCTCCACAATCATTCATCCAGAAAAGGCATGTGGAAGCTATTGCAAGCGAAATTCCAAAGTAGATAGTTTGAGTAACATGCTCGTGGATACTGCATTATGAAAGCTACATGCACAACTACTAATTAGCATTGACTAGAATTTTTGTAGGCAACTGAGCCTCTGTTACGATACTACAATTTCGACGAAGCGATCGGATAAACAATAAAACTACAAAGATTTTGAGCTTTACATAGGCCGACAATTTTCTGCAAATGGGATTTCACGCAACAAACAAGGGTTTTTAGAGCTACTGCATAAGCTAGCACGATCATATCGGAAGAATTAGCGTATGCAAGCTTATGCTGGCGCCAGCTCGTTGCTTGTGTGAGCGTCTGAGACGTGATTAAACTTTATCATGAAGTATTATTGAGTCATTGAACGCACGGAGTGACAGTGGCCATTTACGGTGCACGCGCCGAGCATCCAAACGCTTGTGGCAGTACAAATCACTATGCGCAAGGAACTCAGCCGCGCCGCGCGTGCGCCCACTCCGTGCACTCAACAACCCAGCGGTACGCCTGCTAAATTTCATTCGATTGAGTTCATTTGCTACAGTAAACATAAATAGACGAGAACACAGAAGACCATTAACTCAGAAAATCAAAGTCAGCGCAATAAGCTGGTGCACTTTTCAGCGCAATAAGCTGGTGCACTTTTCAGCGCAATAAGCTGGTGCACTTTTCCTCCGTTTTTAAAGGCAGTGGATCGGCAAAACTTGAACCCAGGATCTTAACGCAGTAGGTTCCTTATCGTCTAAGTATGAAAACAGTGCAATCCCGGTTGCACAGCATGCCTTCCCTGTCGAGAAAATCGCTCTCAGATTTATACGCGCAAGCCAATCTTACACGCACCCGGACGAGTTGCCAGCTTCCTTCTCACCATTGGAGGCTGCCCGCCGTAATGCTATATTCATTAGGCCCCGCAACGATTCAGCGCCATCAGCCTTGCTCCACTCGTCCAATCTTGAAGGGAAGGGGGTTGAAAAACGCTCGTTTTGCCGTTTTCGCGCTCCCTAAAGTGGATTTTCGTGATCAGCGTATTGAATAACCCCAGGTAAGCGAAAATTTTACTAGGTTGAGATTTGCCGAGCCACTGCCTTTGAGAGCTAAAAGACTCACATCACTGTAATACTGATTCTCCCTGTGCTCTTCCCCATACTAATTGCTTTTGATCTTTTCTTTTCTGAAAAATTAAGCTGTTGGATTCCAAAGGTTTATAAAGTTCCACTTAGCAATGAGATTTATATCTGACAAGGGAAGTTCGCTGAATCGAAGTGGCCGATTGATATGTGGTGTACACCCGAGCTCGGGGTTCGGGAGGTTAGTATCAAATGTGAGCCCATTAGCTGCGACGCGTTATTGTGAAGCAAGTTATGGCCCTCTGAAGTTTTTGGCGTGTGCATGTCTAGCGAACAGCATAAATGCTGTGGTCGTGGTCGTGTGGTGTAGTGGTTAGTGTCTCGGACTCACAGTTGGCCGGTCAGGGTTGGAATCCCTTTGCTGTCCACGTTCTCTGCTTTCTTCCCAAATTTCATTTTTCACCTGTTTTATGTATTATTGAAGTGAAAAATGACACACACGGCTTACCGGATGATTTTTCTCACGAATAATCGACCAATGTTTCATGTGTAAAATTTTCGGACAAACTTCTTGCTTTGACCAATTAAACTTTATTCAAAGTCTATATAATATTAGATTGCTTACAAATAATTATGGCATATGGAGGGAGCATATGTGATAAGTTGTATCACGTCGTACTATTTATTCTTGCTAATGAGCTACTTGTGAGAATGATAGGGCAGAATGTATAATTAGTAGAGTTTAACCAGCCGTATGTCATTTTCTACTTCAACAATATACAGGGTGTCTCAAAAAAATGTGCACACTGTTTGATTGTAAATAACTTTCTTGTAGTGAAGTGTTTCGAGAAGCTTTAGGCACCATTTTGTAGAGCGAGGTTTAACTTAGATTTACAGTGTAAAGCGAATCGCCGATCGCTCATTTTTACTATAGGATTACAGTAGAAACTTTGAAGAGGGTTTTGAGCCATGAAAGGCCATATTTTGTTCCAAAAAGAAACCAAAACAACCTGAAAACTCTCCCACTGGGCTAACTAGAGTTGCTGATTCTAAATGTGAAGTTCGCAACTCTTCGTAATGCTTCATTAAAAAATTATGCGAGGTAAGCAGTAGCAGACGTTTTTTAAGTGTTCCTAAAAAGTGCGGTTACACCGTTTAGAAAGCTTCTCAACCTTGTAAAGAGTTGCGTATTGAACTTAGGGTGAAGTTTCTACCGTACTCTTACAGTAAGAATGAGCGATCGGCGATTCGCTTTACACTGTAAATCTAAGTTAAACCTCGCTCTACAAAATGGTACCTAAAGCTTCTCGAAACACTTCACTACAAGAGAGTTATTTACAATCAAACAGTGTGCACATTTTTTTGGGACACCCTGTATAAAATAGGTGAAAAATGGAATTTGGGAAGAACGCAGAAAAAATGGACAGCAACACAATTCGAACCTTCACCAGTCACCTCTGAGTTCGAGACACCAATCGCTACAACACACAACCGCGTCGAAGCATTCTTGCGTTCTCTAGGCATGCGCACGCCAAAACTTCAGAGGGCCATAACTTGCTTCACAATAACGCGTCGCAGCTAATGAACGCACTTTTGATACTAACCTCCCGAGCCCCGAGCCCGGGTATATTCTACATAACAATCGGCCACTTCGATTCAGCGAACTTTGCTTGTAAGAATTTGACACCAGATTGAAATTATTAGAGACGCATAGGTTCTCGTGTTCATAGATAATGGCATATTAACTGTTTTGAAATACTCCACAGTAAAGCAACTTTTTGGCAGTGTGGCGCTCGTCGAAATCCATAACGTCGAAATTCGAAGTGCATTGCGTATTGCCTACTTCTATAACTATATACACTATATGATCAAACTACAGTGGCGGTCCGAGAGGGAAGGCGTGTAGAGCCCCCCCCCCCCCCCCCTGACAATGCATCCCAAAACTTTTGATGAAGTACTGAACAAAGTAGCCTACATGAGCTTCAAAATCATACTGCTTGTGTGCACTTATCTGCAAATAGCCAAGATGCTTTTTACAAAAGCCATGTCCGCTCTATTGGAAAAATGCCCCTTCCCTCCACTTTCTCCGGAAAATTTTCTTGCACTGCCACTAGAATGATATGCACTAAAGAACTTTCAAAAGCCGATCGTTGACCATCGAACAGATTTTGCATGTGTCGAGCGCACGAAAAGTCTATCTGATGGTCGAAAGTTGATTACAGATTCGGTGCAGAAAATAATCCTCATGGTTCACCAATACTATAAAGGGACATTATCTTATGCTATCACAGATTCAAATGAATGCTCAACATTGCTTCCAATACTCATGATTTCTTAAAGGCAGCGTCCAGGCAAGTCTGGACACATGGGGATCTCAAGTGAATAGTATTTTGGGGCCCTAACTAAGCCACTGCCCAATCGGCAGCTCAGAGTGCTCTAACGGCTGAGATATTCCCCTCGAAACTAGACCCCGCAATCGTATTTCGCATGGATGCGTGGATCCTGACGCGAAACTGCCATGAATCCATGCGAATAGATCGCGAGGTCCAGTTTCGAGGGGAATATCTCAGCCATCAGAGCACTACCCGCGCTACCGCTTGGGCAGTGGCTTAGTCAGGGCCCCAAAAGTACTTTCCACGTAAAATCCCCATAGGTCCAGATCTGCCTGGACGCTGCCTTTAAGTCTAATGTAGTTTTCAAACCTCACAAGTATGTATCGGAAGTAAGGTGAGTAAAATCAGATTGCACTTTCATCTAGCTACTGATTGAAAATGTCTCCAATGCTAAGTTTAACAGCTAAAAGCATTCGCGATAAAGACATAAAGTGAAGAAGGAAAATCAGGCCACCCTGGATAGCTAAAAAATTGTTTCAATAGGCGGTGTAGTAATCGTTAAGCACACATGTGTGATTTTTCAAATCCAGTGAACAAAGTCAGATGAGGAATGCTGTTATTGTCAAGTAAACAAGCATGAATGATTGCTTTTTAGTAATTAAAATGAGCAATTGACTACTATACATACACAAAACGTTACAAAGCTGCTCAAGAGTTTGTTAATCAAACAATCATGTCTTTCTCTTTGTGATAAGGTAAACATTATGAGTGACTATGATACCTCTTTAGGTCTTGAACTTCGACATTGTGTCGATGATTAGCTTGCAATTTGTGTTCTACACGATCAGTTCTATCATTCTTTACGATAAGCTGTAGCAGTTGGAAAAATTTTGGAGACTAGGTAGCACTGTGAATCAGCAATGAGCATTGCATAACTGACTATTGAAATGAGTAGAAAAATAATAAATTCGGCATTCCTTTCTGAGGTTACATTTGAGCATTTCTAAAGCGGACTTGATGTTCCATGCAATAACCATCCTTCACCCATGACGGAATCCACTGCGTAGCTTGCCGGTATCCAGCATGAGCCAAGGCAATAGAGAGGCTATGATAGTTTGGTGGATCGCGGCCTGAACGAAGTGTTAGATGTAGAAGCAATTGAAATCATCACAGAAACTGACCATCTATATCTCGAAATCCGTATTCTCTGCCTAGATCTGCAGTTACTAGGATTCGCCCGGTCTTTTCCATTTCTCGTTCATCAGAAGCCAATTGCTATGTTTGGATACTCAGTCGTTTCGCCATCTCCAAACATACTGAAGCGCTAAAGCAGTAAGCTATTAATTACTTAACTCAAAAAGATGACGAGACATTGAACAATAAACATACTTCATTCTTTTTTCCACCAAACATTTTTGTGACAAGTTCTGTGTGAGCAGTGCCTGGCCACAGAGAAACCACACACACGTTCTTCGCTACAAAAATGAGGTTTGATTTTCTTTGATTTTTCCCAAGTTATTTCGAAATAGCGTCACCTTAGTCAATTGCCATATCTACAACCATCCTGTCCAGTGCTTGTTTTCCGATGCCATATGGTACATGAACACGTTGACGACCGCGCCATTTTGGGCGAAACTCCCACTAACGTCCTCCACGCATTCCGCCCGTGCATACGCGCGGATGCACGAAGACATTATATGGGAATCTTTTTGACACTTATTCATAAAACATGCGAACTTTGTTCAGACATACAAGTATATAACAGAACCTTTCCAGGACGTACACAAATCAAGGTTTCTGCATAAATTTTCCCTCCAATAAACCATGCAATGGCTATATCTGAGGAATCCCTCTTCGAGAAAAGCGTTGTAATACCAGGTGTTTTTTGCTTGATTCATCCTTGTTTGACTTCAAAAACAGCTATGCAGAGTTTTCACCTTCTCGTAAAAACGTAATCAGCATGTATTGACTACATCAAAAACGGACTGATAACCCAATTTTGCGGCCAAAACTTCTGAACAGCTGCCGCGATGCCCTGTGTTCTCTAAGACAATCAGGCCACTAGTAGTATTACTGCATAGAGTTTACCTTAAAACTTTTCGTTTGACCTAAAAAACTACCGTGCGTACGCGCGGATGCACGAAAATGCTAAACGGGAGTCAGGGCGTGCATACATGCGGATACACAAGTGTTCTCTAAGACAATCTGTGTTAAACAAGTATCTGAAAGCAATTTGTAGATAATTGCTGGAGCCCCTGGTAAGCAGTTTCGAACCTGATACCACCAGAACTGATGTTTACGACCAGACCGTCAGATTTGACCATCATTCGGGCTGCATAAACGGAGCAATAATAATGATTCTCTAATTAACATCTCATATATAAAGCTGAATGTCTGTTTGTATGTATGTATGTATGTATGTCTGTACGTATGTTCCGAATAGAAAATTCCATTTCTGAACCGATCCGGACCAAACTTGGCACACATACACTACGGGCCCCGGCGGGTGTCATAGGCTACTTTTCGTCATCGATCGATATCAATTTTATCGATTTTTATCGATTTTTTTGCTGAGTTCACCTACGGGGCTGGGAGTTGGCACAGGGGGGTAATCGAGCATGGGGATTCCGAATACAATATTGGTTTTCAGGATTATCGATTACTTTTATCGATTTTATCGATTTTTTTGCAAAGTTTGAGCTACGGGGCTGGGAGTTGGCACAGGGGATAATCGAGCATGCTGATCATCCCCGTGGGGGTGATCAGCATGCTCGATTACACCCCTCTGCCAAATTCCAGCCCCTTAGCTCAAATTTTGCAAAAAAATCGGTAAAATCGACATCGATCGATAACGAAAAGTGGACTGTGACACCCGCCGGGGCCCGAAGTGTATGTGTGCCAAGTTTGGTCCGGATACGGCGGAGCCGGGTAAGCCAGCTAGTATTATATAAACGGATAAAGCTTAAGTAATACGTGGTAAAGTTAATCATTGAGAAATCTTAGTGAGTTGTCTTTGGTAGAAGATGAGTGATTTTAGAGAATTTCAAAAGATACCTCAACCCCACATTGTTCAATTCATCCCACATCTCAGGAGGACACTCATAAAACTTCTTATCTTCTCCCATCGCTTCCATGATCATCTGAAAAAAGTGTTCGTTTGCCATACCGAGGAGAATACGAGACAATAACATAGCAGCCAGTGGCGGTCGCAGGATTTCCATCCAGGAGGGGGGGAAGTAAAAAATTTTCAAATGAAGGTGCGTGGCATTAGCCACGCACTCCGAAAAACTTTTGAGCCACTGGCCGCTTTTTTCAAAAATTATCCTGATCATTTACAAGAATGAACAAGTCACTTGCAGATTTTTATAACCCATGTAAGTAAATTTTAAAAATTTCTCGACCCATTTCCCCGGGGAGGGGGGGGAGAGCCCTCAGCCCCCACCCTTTCCTCGGTCAGCCACTGATAGCAGCTTATCTGATTCAAATCTTTTATACAAAGCTGAATATCTGTTTGTCTGCCTGTCTGTGTGTTACGTATGTTCCGAATAAAAAATTCCATTTCTAAACCGATCCGGACCAAACTTGGCACACATACACTTCGGGCCCCGGCGGGTGTCATAGGTTACTTTTCGTCATCGATCGATATCTAATAATCGAGCATGCTGATTACAAATATATTATTGACAGGGCCGGGCGGAACCGGGTAAGTCATCTAGTACTAGATAAACTTGCCTCTATGGAAGCAAAGGCATTGTTCACCAGGATATCCAATTTCCCACTGTGAACCATTTCTACTTTTTCAAAAAACTGCTTCACTCTTTGCCACCACGTTCGGTAACTTCTGAAAAAAAAGAAAGTTGGTTTAAAGTTTGCAGAAACATAATCTGAAAATCTCCCCAGAACCATTTTCTCCGTTTTTACTTTCAGTGTGTAGGCTTGATTGACGATAAATTGATAGTTTTTGAAACACTTGTGTGAATAAAGAAATTCCTCCTTCTAGATACCATTTTGCAACAGCTACTGCTTGAGTACAGGTTTGCTAAGCTCCGTTCTTCCAACTTAGGCATTTTTTCATGTCTTCACCTGCACTGGGAACCACAGAGTGACTCATGCTATGCCTGATACCTCCCACTGCGGCGCTTTGATCAAATACAGGGTGTCCCAAAAGTAAGTACACACTTTATCGTTAATATCTCTCTTCCCATTGTGTCTTTTTCACCCATTTAAGTGTCATACTGTAGAGGAGGCTTCAACTTAGATTTACAATATCGAGCGAATCACCGATCGCTTTTCGTTACTGTAGGATTATTGTAGGAACTTCGACAAGGTTTTTCGGCATTTGGAAGTCGTATTCTGCTTCGGAACTAAATCAAACAAGCCCCAAACTCTCATACTATGGTAATGGGAGCCGATGATTTCAAATATTAGATTTCTACTTTACTGTGATGCATCTTTCCAAAGTATTCCAGGTAAACCACAATAACCGAATTCCCCGTATTTGTCAAAAAAGATTACACCGTCAAAAAAGCTGAAAACACTCGTGAAAAGTTGTGTAGTGGAATCAGCATGCGTGAAAATCCTAGTACACGATTTTTCAGTTTTTTTGAAAAAAAAACTGTTAAATGGCATATTTCACCACGGTTTCACCATGCTGGAAGTTCTTACCGTGATCCTACAGTAACGAAAAGAGATCGGTGATTCGCTCGTTGCTGTAAAACTAAGTTGAAGCCTCCTCTATAAAATGGTACTTGAACGGCGGAAAAAGACCCAATGGGAAGAGAGATATTAACGATTGAAAAGTGTGTACTTACTTTTGGGACACCCTGTATAAATATTGACTGGACCTTTAGCCGTTTTTCCAGACTCGGTAAGTTATTCTCGTCCGTTGCATCGCTGTGGTTCGGTTTTCTACCAGTTACATAAACGGTGCTTGACCAAGCTGTAGTGCAATACCACGACCTAAGAATCTCCGTATAATGGGTCGTTCCAAAAGTTTCGATTTCTCCAAGTAAACGCCATATCTGGTAGAACAAAGAATTTTGAAAGGTCCTGATATCGATAACGGCAATTCATCCTCTTTTAGCGTTTACAAAAGCATTGCAGCACAATCAATGAGCTCTGAGAAAATTACCAAAATCTGCGACCTGTACTTTTTGGAATGGTCAAGTTTCACAATTTTTCTAGACTTCTATACCAACCCTCCGAAAGAGTTCTAGGTGGAGCAACCCATACAAGAGACAGCATAGTTTTTTCTCTTTCTCATAGCTCCCCATAAATTTTTAAAAGGGTTACAAAGAAAAAGAGAACCATCGGATTTTGACAGGCTTACGTCAGCCAAAATCGCATCAAACACCGATAAGTCTTCGAATTTTGAAACTTCCAATGGTATTATGTTTAACACTAGTATTACCAAGCAAATGAGAGTTTGCGGATTCGGAATATCAAATCTCGAGTTTATTGGAAACAGTCTGGAGCGCATTCGAAAGCATGAACTACGATAATTTTATCCCTGAGGACTCCAAGAATCGAGGAAGAGAGACGCACTAGAAAAAAGGAGGAAAAAGCTGCGTCGACTAGCACTCGAGCTGCTCGCCCTTTGGTGTTCTACGAGGTTCTAGTTGACCAAGTATGGAAATGAGTAGCATCAGTTGAAATTCTACCAAAAGATTATGACGAGTTATGAGAAGGAGAAAAAAAATTGTTCTGCATCTTGTAGGGTTTGCTCTATGCATATTACTTGGACTTCTCTGAGTGATCGATACAGAAATTAGAAAAAAACTGCCAAAATTGACCTCAAACCACAGGTCGTATTTTTTGGTAATTTTTCAAGAACTCATTGATTGTGCTGCATTGATTTTATAACCATTGAAAAGCGATAAAATGATGCACCGTATGTTACGAGACCTTTTAGAAAAGTTTGTTTTACGAAACGTGACGTTAATTTCGAAGCGAAATTAATTTCGGAACGATCTAATATTTAGTAAGGAAGTGGATGTAGGTTGAGAACGTACCAATTCCACGTGATGCACCAGTCACTATGGCTACCTTTTATACTAGTGCCATCTGTGAATGATGAAACAAGGGTAATTTGAAAATATTTTGAAAATGTTTTGCTAAATATAAAATACTAGCTGGCTTACCCGGCTCCGCCGTATGTTCCGAACAGAAAATTCCATTTCTTAACCGATCCGGACCAAACTTGGCACACATACACTTCGGGCCCCGGCGGGTGTCACAGTCCACTTTTTGTT